GAGATGTTCCGAATGGGAATTCAAAGCATTTCTAGTGAGTCAGATTTGTGGAAGTAGTCATCCTGTGGGTCACCACAGTGACTTGGTGCTAAGGAATCTCTGATGGAGCCGAGGGACTGGCCACCTTCAGGTAGAAACAGAAGATCAGAGTGTGAGATGGAAGGGAGAAACCAGGTCACCTGACCCCTTGGTCTCTCATCTGGCAAAACTACAGGAATAAGAAATTTTGCATCTTCTCTCCTGCCCCAGGCTGTGCAGCAGGGAAGGGAGAGGCTGTCGGCCACCATCTCAGCTTCTGTACCAGGACTTCCAAGTTCTGCTCCAGAGGAAGTCCGGTCTTGTTTGCTGCTTTCCAGGGACCAAGGTAAACAGATCCAGGGAATGTCAGGCTTAAAAAATTAAGGAACAGAAGCTGCTGGTGGTGTCTGAAGTTTAGGAGTATTTTAACTTAGGATTTGAGCTTCCCTCTGATCATTCGAGGACCTGGGGTACTCACTGGCAGGATGGTTCCATCCTAGTCAGAAATCTAAGCAGGGGAGGGCTTCAAGGAACATTCCAAGTGTCGCTGTACAGAAGGACTTTGTTAATTGCTGTTTAACACCTTGCTATTCTCCACGCAAACCTGTTCCTGCACCGAGATACAATTCCTTGGGCTGAGACCAGCTACTCTGTGACTAAAGCTTGGTTATCAGCTATGCACACCTGCAGCCTGGCTGGCAAGTAGACCTTGTAGTCCAGGTTCTTTAGCTTGGGCTATTTCCCTGAGCACCGATTTGGGACTTGATTTCTGTGCACAAACAAATCTATTACTGCTGATAAATACAATCATGGGGCACACATGCAAGCAAACTAGGATCCACATGGATGATTTCTTAAAGAAGCAAATTCCCATGTATTGCAAATGTTTAGTGGTCCCAAATCTTTTCGGACCTTTAGAGGAGGTCGTTCAGCTATGGCAGCCCCAGCATCAACGTGAAACTTGAGAGCCAGTCTGATATTGAACTTGGTCCAACAACATGTGCTACGTATCTATTGGCTGGAAGTACATTTGAGATAAGGATTTGTTCTGTATCAGTTCTAAAACTTAAAAGGCTTGTCAGCAAATGCAGAAAAGACTTGTAATGCATACTGTTTTTCTTGTTTAAGATTGCTCTAGAAAAATTATTTTGTCTAAAACAACTATTCAGGTTTAATTTTGTTGAGTGGTAGAGATTTAATTTCGTATGTTACAAATTATGTTCTCAGAACAGCCTTCCTGTCTTACTGTTATGAAAGCCGTGCAATCCAGGCATCAGAGGACACAGAGAAACAGAAATAAATGTAAGTCCGCTAAGAAACAAAGCCACACTTTTATGAAGATGGGAACTTAAAGACAATGAGAGCTTACCTCTAACTACGTAAGTGAACGTGGAACCTCAGCACCTTTAAATCTTGCACTGGCTAAAAGCCACAGACTGGGTTTTACTGGGCTTCCTTTTATTCTGTATTGCACATTCACAAATGAAAACCTCTGAGCATCAGTTTTCTTGTTACAATAAGACAATCCCCATTCTTATGTAAAATATTTAAAAACTCAGGTATGGCCAAGTACAAAACCCCCACTTCTTTCTTTGGAATAATTTGCCTTCAATTCCAGACTTTTATACTGATTACTCTTTAATAGATTTTATTTTTAAAGCATCAGAAGAAGTACCAGTAATGCATAAAATATGTATGTATAAAAATTATGCCTGTACTTCCCTGTATTTGTTATAAAGGCTGATGGTTCCAACTACTTGCGAGACTGCTGTAATGGCCCTAGGGGATACTGTTCTTACAGAACGACGTCCATCCCTTGCTGAGGCAACTCTGAACCGTACCACAGTGCCCTCAGGACTCTGGTGAGGGAGCAGCGGGCAGCAGGCAGAGAAATTCTGTATGTGGCCTTGTCTGAGGCAAGTTCTGAAAAGAAACCAGTGGGCCACCAGTAAACCTTTCCTGTAGTTTGTATGCTGCATTTTTGCTCAGCCAATTACGGCCAGCCTAATTTGCTGCACGAATGTACCAATTTTCTTTGACTAGGCTGATAATCAACATACGGAAGTAACTCAAATAGTTCCCTTCAGGAAAACAGAAGAAAGAAACTCTACCGAATTCTGCTTGTAGAAAGACAACTGAATACCCTGCTCTGAGCATGGCACTGAACCTCCAGAAACTCCTTCTCACCTAAATTGTTCTATGAAGATTCCTTGAGTAACTTAACATTTGAACTGATTATAAACTGACCCAAAATCCACCAAAACAACAACAACAAACCCACAAACAAAAAAACCCAACAATTATCCACTTCACAAAAATAAAAAGCTTTTGGAAACAACTCTGAATATTTGCAATATTTGTCAAGTCTAGATTTCGTATCATTGTTAGAGGCACGCCACTAGGTACCAAAGCTCATTTCTAAAAGAGTTTCTTTTTTAGGTAGCACCTAAAAACTTCTAACATAAACATTTAAAAATTGGTTTAAACCAAAATACTGTAATTTTTGCATGAGGCAAGTATTTGACCAGAGCATTAAAAAGAAACTGCATTGTGATCAGTAAATCCATCTTATGAAATTATTCCAGTTCTAGAAATCAAACCCCTGATGGACGTGTAATTAAATGCTTTTAAAATCTCCCAGTCTCCCTCTGTCAAAAGCATTTCAAACCCTTCAAGTCAAAGCACCGCAGATTGCTTTAGAAAAAGAGTTGCATATACTGCTTTGTAAAGAGAGTCTGATTTTCCCTGTTACAGAGGAAAACTAACTGTAACGCCAGTCAAACACTGGGTAAGAGACACCTAGGCATTGTGTAACAGCACACAACCGTGCCCTACCCATTTTAGGACAGCAAGTAATCCTTAACTAATGTCAACAGCACCCAGCTCTTCTACGAGGTGCCAAGGGATTTCAAAACAATTTGCAGAAGAGACAGGGAACTGAGGCACAGGGAAACAAAGTGAACTGTTCACTGTCACTCTGCACACCAAGCCCCTTCCTCCCGTACAACCTGACAAGATAAAGCACTGTAACTTCACCTAAACCCCTATCTGTTAAACTACGGAACTGCCTGCGTTACAACTTCTTTGCTCAATACAGTATTTCTGTGAACATCCAAGACCATGCACAGATATAGCAAGTAGTTTTCTGTGAAAGAAAAGGGGAAAAAAAATTTAAAAAAAAAAAAAAAGACTGCCACATGACACCTAGAAGCGTTTATTTTATGCAACAAACTTAAATATGATCATGTGTACATAAAAGTGTACACTGTATCTATGCTGAACAATGCCAGGAAACATAATATTGATGCAACAATCTTCTAAAATAAACATTAAAAAATGAGCCTGGACAGGAAGACAAAATGCAAAACAGACTTACTTCCAATCAGCACAATGCTTAAAATTGAGAGCAATCCTAAACATTTCCAACTCTCCTTACAAAGCTGCCAAAGTCCAACTATTTTTAAAAATTGATTTTTTTTCTTTACATCAATAATAAAAATCTGGTGACAAACATTATAAAATCAAATGCTGGACTGTCTTTACTCCTTTAAAATTTAGAATATTCCAACAGAACCGCAGGAGTAAAAACACTTAAAAGTGATATATGTTTTTATAAAACAAACATCAATATGTACATTTATTGCAAATTATATTAACTAAAATGGAGGGAAAATTAAAAAAAATGAAATGTCTACTTGCGAATTAATAATAATTTTAAGTGATTACTTTCCCACTCTGATAAAAATCAGAAAGCAACATTTATAAAATTGCCACCACATGACTTTTCATAGCAGGGAACTGAAATCTGTACATCTTATTTTTGCAGAAAAGTAGGCAGGCAGAAAGAATTATACATAAAACAGTCTCCAAAAGTAAAGCAAAAAAATTTTTTTGTTATTTTTTTTTCTCTAGTCTTGTTTAAAATCCATTCAGTAGACTTCTACTTTTTCTGTGAAACATGGGAATACCTGGCTCTAGGATCATGAATTTTCAATGTCAGTGTAAGGACCTCCTCTGACTTTCTTTAAAAAAAAAATGCAGCATGAAAATTAATGGTGTAAATACACTTTTAAACTCCAGAATGCAGGAACTGGAACCAAGTGTTAAGCAATTTGCTTAATTATTGACTTTTCATAAAAAAAGTCTCTGGGGAAATAAGTACAGATGCTTTTAGCCTCTTTCTCAAGAGTTTCTGCTTTACATTTCCATTGAGAAGGATTAATTTCATGTGAAAGGGAAGCATAGTTTTCCTTCTGGTTTCAGAGCTGAAAGCTGTGTGTTTTGAAGTAATTTCAGTTCCTGTACAGGAACTTTCTGAATCCTAGTTTTTGCAGAAGCTTGGAGCATGCCTTTATTTGGCCTTCATTTCCTCCCTTTTCGAGCGAGTTTTCTTTTTACCTTTTTGGGGGGAGAAAAGGAAATAAAAGTTAATCATAAGGACATGGAAATTACAATTGATTCTGAATCAAAATCCAACCTATATAATTTACATTTTAGCTTTTACACTCTTTATGCTGAGATACTTCCAACTCCATCTTGTATCTTCTCAATGATTACATAACTAATTGAATATAACTAAACTCCTTATTGTAAAGCACAACTTCCTGATAAACTTGGAAATACACAAGTTGAACAATAATAATTCCGTAACTGGGTAATGTTTTTTCAGCATAAGGAGAAATACATTTATCCATAGTTTTCCCTGGAAGCAGAGAATAAGAATGGTGACTTGTTCTAATTAACTGTATTTAATTACCCAGGTTTATAAAAATAGCCTGCCTTACTTAAGAACAAGCACTACTTCAAGCATTTTTCACATATTTACAGTAACTTGTACATGTCTACTTAAAAGCAAAACAAACCCACCAAACCTATCAGACACAGCTATTTTTACATACATTTTTCTAGAAGACAAATTTCTTTGATTCCTTACTGTATAAGCTACAATAAAAAACACAGAGTTGTCCTATATAAGATGCCTGCTACACCTTAAGGAAGCCTCCCTCTGCTATCTCTGTATCCTCAGTATCTTCCTGGCTGCTCCCACAGGCCTTAAAAAGATCCATTGCATTTTGGGAATATTCTGGACTCGAGTCTATCTCCAACAGTGAATCTCCATCACTTCCAAGCACCTGGCTTCTGAAAAATGTTAACAACGTTTTGGTATTTTTTCCAAGAAACACTGAGGTATTACATATTTTAAAGAAGCTGATACAGGTGGCTTAGTAAAGGCTATGGATAGTGCAATTTGTTATGAAGACTAAAGAAATTTGACATCTCAAGCAAGCATTGCAAGGCAGTACACAAATATTACTCTCTCGAAAGACTGATATATTTCCTAGTGTATGAACTTTGCTGTAAGAGTAAGAGGTAATTCTTTTTGATCAAGGTTCTTTGCAAGATCTTCAATTAACAAAATCTCTAGAAAGAAACCATTCCAATGATTCTTCCTTTAGATTAATTTGTGATTTCTTCCAGCACACTGGTTTGCTGACCTTATGTTATTGCTCAACAACTTTAGACAGTTTTACATTAAAGTTATTACTGTATCAGATTTGGCTAAAAAAATTTCTCAGTGTTTATGTGCATTTGTAATTTGTTTATATTGAAAAATCAAATCAACATACTTAAACACTAGAGCACAGAAAAAGAAATCATCATCCAAGAGCTGTTTTGTAGTTTATGCAGTTCAAACTTCTGCTTTTGATTCACTTAAAATAAATACTAAATATTGATAACATTAAAAAAGCCCAAAATATCAGAAAAGCATTACAGTCAGAGTAACAATTTGTTGTGTTCATTAAAGATGATCAGTTTTCAAGCCTTTGTTATCAGTGAAGTGGAACAGAGCACTTGAATTCCTGTGTACCTGGCATTAACGAATGCACTGAAACACCCTCAACTCTTGGCTCTTTTACATAGCAATGCTAGTAAGGGGAACCAGGATGCAACAGACAAAAAAATACAATTTGGTGAAAACAGGTTAGATTCTTCTGTTCTGACTAAACAAATTCATTTCTCCAATTCCAGCTGCACTGGTACATATTTTGAAAAACAGAACACAACACAATGTACGTTGGATCACGGTGTTTATAAATCATTATGGTTTAGTGTGCCCTTTAACTATGCTAGATCTGTTATAATTGTAAAGTCAGGGTCTATCTTGAGACGGGAAAGGCCCACCCCACCCAAGTATTTTATTGTTTGTTTGGGTTTGGGGTTTTTACCTTTGTAGATCAATTTGTCTCTGTGCTGCTGCTGGCTTTTTTGCTGTGTCTTGCTGTTTTGGTGCTTTGGCATTACCTGCCTCTAAATTCCCTGGACTTTCTTGACTGACGGCTGCCCTTTTCCTTCCCCTGACAGGTGGTTTATTTGTTTCCTCATTTTTTGCAGTGGTACCCTGAGGTTCAGGTTTGGGTGGATGCCCTCTCCTGGTTTTTGCTGCGAGTGATGGTCCTGTTTCATCTACATTTTTTTCTTCCGGTTTTTGATGGATATTCTCAGTTCCAGATGCTGTTGCTGTTCTTTTTTTCCCACGTTCAGTACTGTTTCCTTGTGTAGCCTGATCAGAATTAATCTCCTAGAAAATAAAAGTCATAAATATGAAGAAAAAAAGATTCCCAAAGGCAAACTCAAATTGTTACCTCCCTCTGACAGAAACATGAGTTTATAAAACAGAAAGTAAGTTTTCTTATAAAAACACGTAACATGGGCTTAAGACCGAGTTAGAAGTTTTACTAAATGGGATTTCAGACATTAACCTTGCAATAAGATTTTCTACACTGTGTGTAATGTTAATATCTGTGAGCAATGTGCTTGAAAGTGAGATTAGAGTAAGACTAATAACCTCGGCTCCTCCCATAATGGTTCATCTGGATAAGCTCCTCTTACTGCCTCTTTGCCAACTGACAGGAGAACTGAGGAACAAGAGTAATGATTCAGTACAGCAAGTGATATTTACCTCAATATATGGAAATTTTGAGACCAACCTTCAGCAGAGGTGCAGATTACTAAAACCCTAAATACAAGTAAAAGGAAAAAACCCAAGGCTTGCTGGGAATAAGAGGGAGCAAGACCTAGCCACAAAAGAAACTTGCTTTGTTAGTTCTCTGTCATGTCTGAATAGGTATGGCTTACATGCATGGTTTTTCTCATTACACTGAGCAAAGTAATGGGAGTGATTATATTTCATGAAGCAGTGTCTGCATATGTGAAACAGAAAGGGTGGTGGCAATATTGGTCTCTACACAGAAAAGTATTCATATGGAAACAAAGAGGAAGCGACTGGATGATGGCTCTTCATTTGAACACGGGCTTCTGAAACAGGAAGGAAGGCAGAGAAGTATGGCTGGGATGACTTAGCATTTCAGACACACCAATTAAGGCCACTCTCTATTTTAAGTGCTGTTAACCAAAGGACTTTTCTGTTCAATATTCTACCATTATTTCTTAAATGTTTAAGTCAGGCAGTCTCCGTAATCTTTTATTACTGTTCCAGCAGCTTCATAGCAGATGTTTACAACTCCTGTTTGTAAGAACTTTACAGATAACCACTCTTTGAAAATTTCAACCAAAGTCAGGTTTCAAGAACCTGAAAGCAGGTCTCAGGGGTTATCCAGGGCCCTTGACAAGCCAAGCCAAGCCATGAAGAGCAACTTTCCACCACTTTTCTGAGCAACCTATTTGAGTGTTTAATTTTCCTCACAATGTCGATTGTTTTTTTTTTTTTCTTCCATCCAGATGGAATTTCCGCTAAAGCAACTTCTGCCTGTAGTCTTTTGTCCTGTCACGACGCAGTCTTGAGAATACTTCCATCTTCTCCATAAATACCTATTAGACATCAGATCCCCCCCAAGGCTTCTCTTCTCTAGGCTGAACAAACCCAACACTTTCAACCTTTCTTCATATGACAACTTCTCCGAGCCTTTATCATCTTGGTGGCCCTATGCAAAGCTCTCTCCAGTTTTTCAGTCTCTGTGTTGAACTGGGGAGAACACAGTATTCCAGGTGCGGCCTAATGAACACCAAACAGGGTGGAATAATCCATCACATCCCTCAATCTGCTGACTATACTCTTGCTGATGCAGGCCAGGACCCAGCTTGCCCTCACTGCTGCCAAAGCACACTGCTGACTCATACTCTGCTGGTTGTCCACTGGGATGGTCCCGCAGGTCCTTCTCAGCCAACCGACACCCCCAGCCAGGCAGATCCCAGCACACTGTACTGCTGCTTGAATTTAATCTATCCCAGATGCAGCACTTCACATCTACCTTTGTTAAACTTCATGCAACTGTATGTTTTGTAAGCTAAAAAAGCATTACAATTGTGTTGGTTTTGGCTGGGATAGAGTTAATTTTTGTCACAGTAGCTAGTATGAGGCTGTTTTGGATTTGTGCTGAAAACAGTGTTCATAACACAGGGATGTTTTTGTTACTGCTGAGCAGTGCTTACACAGACTCAAGGCCTTTTCTGCTTCTCACACAACCCCAAGTAGGCTGGGGGGTGCTCAAGAAGTTGGGAGGGGACACAGCCAGGACAGCTGACCCCAACTGACCAAAGGGATATTCCATACCATACGACATTATGCTCAGCATATAAAGCTGGGGGAAGAAGGAAGGGGAGGGACATGGGACCAGCAGGTTGAAGGAGGTGATCCTGCCCCTCTACTCCGCTCTTGTGAGACCCCACCTGGAGTACTGCGTCCAGCTCTGGGGGCCCCAGTACAGGAGAGACATGGAGCTGTTGGAGCGAGTCCAGAGGAGGGCCACGAAGCTGATCGGAGGGCTGGAGCACCTCTCCTGTGAGGACAGGCTGAGAGAGTTGGGGTTGTTCAGCCTGGAGAAGAGAAGGCTCCGGGAAGATCTAATTGCGGCTTACCAGTACCTGAAGGTGCCTACAGGAAAGATGGTGAGGGACTGTTTATCAGGGAGTGTAGTGACAGGACAAGGGGTAATGGGTTTAAGCTGAAGGAGGGTCGATTTAGATTAGATGTTAGAAAGAAATTCTTTACTGTGAGGGTGGTGAGGCACTGGAACAGGCTGCCCAGAGAGGTTGTGGAGGCCCCATCCCTGGAAACGTTTAAGATCAGGTTGGATGAGGCTTTGGGCAATGTGGTCTAGTGGAGGGTGTCCCTGCCCGCAGCATGGGGGTTGGAACTAGATGATCTTTAAGGTCCTTTCCAACCCAAACCATTCTATGATTCTATGTTTGGAGTGATGGTGTTTGTCTTCCCAAGTAACTGTTACCTGTGATAAAGCCCTGCTTTCCTGGAGATGGGTGAACACATGCCTGCCCATGGGAAGTGGTGAATGAGTTTCCTGATTTGCTTTGCTTGCGTGTGTGGCTTTTGCTTTATCTATTAAACTGTCTTTATCTCAACCCATGAGTTTTCTCACTTTCACTCTTCTGATTCTCTGCCCCATCCCACCAGGGGGGCGAGGGGGAAGTGAGCGAGCGGCTGCGGTGCTTAGCTGCTGGCTGGGGTTAAACTACAACAATGATTTAAGCATGTTGTTCTCTCTCTAATGGAAGGGGGGAAAAGCATTAAAAATCCTCAAAGATTAAATAATATTTTAGTTGTGAGACAATCCAAAAGTTAGATGTTTATTTCATGCTAGAAGAGCGCTTGAAATTTTCGTGGTGGTAGCTTCAGTTAAAGCTACAGTTGTCAACCTGCACTCTGAATCACAGCCTTGCTGTTATTTATACTGGAAAACATAGAACAAAGGTAGGTTAGAAAAAAGAAGGAAGTCCCTTCCATTTGCCTGTGCTATTTTTGAGCACATGAGCTCTATTAATTACTCTCGATAAAATAAATGGTAGTTTTGAAAAAAAGAGGTCTTTTACTGGGCTAGGAAAGTGAATAAACTACATGAAATGAAATCGGACATTACCAGTTCCTCAGAGACCACCTGCAGTGATGTGTACTGAATAAACCTCCAATGCCAAGCTTATTATAGAGATACAGTCCATCAAATCCCCAGACATACCTTGTTTTTCACAGGTTCTGTCTTTGCTGGTGTGACTGAAATAATCCTCACAGGATTTTCATCATTTTCACTGACCCCAGTTTCTGATATATCCGAACTTTGTTCCCTGATAGCATAATTGAAGACAAAATAAAACCAAAATATACAAAACAAGAAAAAAGTTTGCAATTATTTTTAAAAATAAAATAATAATAAAATTATCAATGCAGACAGGCTATTTTTTAAAAAACAAAAACAAAACTAAAAACCACTAGAGTTGAATTTGCTTGAGTCCATGCTTACTTTTTCTTTCCCATAATTGGGAAAGGTCTGAAAGGAATTGGCTAGTCACTGAGCCAAATCCCTTATCGCAGACACAATGCCATATAATTCTTTTTGCAAACTTAAGACCAATGCTCTAAAGGAGGCCATGTTCTTTTTTCAGAGAGAAAAAGCCAATACTGGCAAAGGTAATCAAGAAAAATAAAGACCAGCAATACTCAAACTTCAAGTTAATTTACACAAGCATACAATAGTTTTAAAAACAAAATAGTTTTAAAAAGATAAAATCAGGATTATTACAGCATATATCATGCACACTTATAGAACAAATTCTGAACTGACTTTTACTTCCCTTTGGCCTACCGCTGACTTTATATTTACTTTCTTTAACCCTTTATCTTAGCCAGTTAATAAATTCCAAAACAAATTAAACAATCTTAAAATTTGAAAGTGTAAACTCTTTCTCCAGATTTATGACAGATTTAAAAACTCTGGATCCACAGAAAAATAACAATTACTAGAAGAAAAACTGAATATTACAATCATATGTTGCATCTTTCCACTGACATCCTGGTCCTCTTCAGCAAGCTCTTTTTAATTGTTCTTCGTCTTAAATAGGTCAGAATATTTCATCTACATCAAAAATGTTTCTTCTTACCATTCAGGATTAATCCTAATCTATACATCAAAAATGTGTGAGTTGCCAAATCTGGTTCGTATTAATTATTGCTGGTCTCTTCAGTTAATATATTTTCTGAAGCACGAAAATTTCAGACAGTATAGTGTCTCTTCTGTTCTATTATATGTAATTACAGACAGGCCACACCTAAACACTGTACTGAATTTCTGTCTACTAAAAAAACCCCCAAACCAAAAAGCAAAGATGGGGATTTTACCTATAGAGAACTATTATATTTTTTTTCCACTGGATAAAATAAAGGCACTCTTCAAACACATAGGCATACACCCCAAATCATCTGTTCTAAAACATGCAAGTGCACTGGAGAACATGAAGTAAAAACAGTTAATGAAAGAAGTTTCAAACTCCTGTACCTTGATCTGTTTCCTGCAGGAGAGCTCAGCTCAGAGTTTACACTGATATTGCTTCCAGTCTCTGATCCTGTAGTTCTGATATACGGTCTCCTTCCAGTTGCAGATAATGGTTTGTTTACTGTACCTAATACACCAGTTGGTTTTGGCTAAAAGAAAATGTTTAATCTTAAAAATGGGAACTTCAGATACATATTTAATTTTTAAAATATTTTGAATATTTTACAATACTTTTTTCTGGATTAACAGTCTCAATCACGATGCCATCAGTATAGAGCTACAGACCTCATCTTCACTTAAAAAACACTGTCTGTCCTATGTCTATTTCTCATCGTTCAACAGTGCATCAATTTGCCTTGCTTTCTCTCATGCTTTGATAAGATAGCAGGAAGAGGGAGTCTCAACAAAGCCCAGAATGTTAGATAATATTAAGGGATTGAAAAGGTGTGTCAACATCCTATATCTGCAAAGCAAAGCACCTTTGGGAAAGGCTTTCCAAAATGTAATGCAGAATTAGGTTCACTACAACAGCAGAAAATGTATACAATTACTATACAGAAAGCCGGTGTAAAAACATTTAAAACCACCTATCTATTCTGGGGTTCTCTGATACAGTGATGGTATTTTAGATCTTGTTACGGCTGTTGACTGATTTGGTCAGGCTGGGTAGGCAGTGGAAGTTTTTTATTTTGTGTCTGGAGAAAAGTCAAGGAAGTTTTCCTAACTGGCATGTCACGTTCTTCAAGTAATTCTACATTTCCTCAAAGTTAATTTATTAAGACATTCTCAGAAGAAAAAATAATTCCCATGTGTTGAAGTTATGAGGGAGCAGGCAGAAGAGAGATACCATAGATGCTGGAAAACATTTGGCCAGCAAAAAAGACAACAATCTCTGTAAACATGGCCTGTGGCTGAGCACACGTTCAGTAGCTGCACCATCCTAGTGCTAATACTGCACATTTACTTAAATATGCTATTCTTATAATGTTTTATTTGCTCTATTTACTGAGTATTTTATAAAAAGTAGGAAGCATTTGGTGCAACTAATAGGAGAGAGAAAATCTTGAAGGGAGAAAAGAATATGCTTCTGCACAACCAGCAGGTTGCAAATTTCTGACACTGCCACAAGAGACTGAAGGCAGAGCATCAGGAGGTTCAAAACCAGAACAGACAAATTAGTGAACAAGTCCATAAGCAGACATCAAAACCAATGGGCAGATGCAGAGTCTAGCACCCCATTATAGAGATCATGAACACTGGGGGAGTATGAGGCGGGATGTAGTGCAAAAAGTGGCTAGATTTGTATGCTCTCCCAAATCATGTTGTTTTGGTCCCTCTGGAAGAACAACACTAGGCCAAAAAAGGACCGTTGGTCTGAGTCAGTGGGATGCCCTTATACATCTGTGTTTTCCAAAATGGAAGTAGACAGAAGAAGCAGCAAGTGCTTGCACATTCTATTAGAGCATGAAATAAATGTCCATTTTCCCAGAACACAGAAAACTACCTAAATAATACTAGCTTGATACTGGACATTCCCTCCTCCTCTATTTTAACAAAATGCATGAGAAAAGGCTGTCTTAAATAAGCAAGATTTTTTAGTTAAGACATAGCTTTTCTCTAAATTGCTGTATGCCTTATCAAAAGAGAGCTGCAGTAAGTTTATACAACCAACTAAACTTGCTTCAAAGTTACAAATGCTTCACTGATGATATGTGAATGTTATCAAAGGTGAAATGATTACACTCTTCTGAGGATACTTAAAGCACTAGTCTGGTACTGGCTGCTGCTAAAGGAGGTGGTCTTTTGCCTGCCTCCTCCCTTCCTCACACAACACCAACCCAGCTCACTGAGTAGCATCCAGGCTGGTGTCACAGAACGAACATGAAGGAAGGAGAGGCAGGATTCTGCCAACTGAGCAAACCTCACCCACATGAACTGCTCTGATAGCGGAAACTTTGTATAAATGAAAAAATCAGTGTGAGAAGCAGCAATTTTAAAAGATAACGGCTATTTACAGAGGGATCATTTGTCTCTACCCTTACAATGAACAATTACCACAACGTTCTGCTCTGAGGACTTTAGAAACTAATTAACTGTTAATTAACTAAAAACTGCTTAACATCTTTGTTGGTGACATAGACGGTGGGACTGAGCGCACCCTCAGCAAGTTTGCCCACAACACCAAGCTGTGTGGTGGATGGTGGCTGACATGCTGGAGGGAGGTGACGCCATCCAGAGGGACCCTGACAGACTTGAGAGGTGGGCCCATGTGAACTGCATGAAATTCAACAAGGCCAAGTACAAGGTCCTGCACACGGGTCGGGGCAATCATATCCTGAGCTGCATCAAAAGAATCATGACACGCTGATCAAGGAAGGTGGTTCTCCCCCTCTACTCTACTCTCACAAGACCCCAGCTGGAGTACTGCGTCCAGCTCTAGGGCCCCCAACGTAAGAAGGACATGGAGCTGTTGGAGAGAGTCCAGCGAAGGGCCATGAAGATGATCAGAGAGCTGGCGCACCTCTCCTATGAGGACAGGCTGAGAGAGTTGGGGTTGTTCAGCCTGGAGAAGAGAAGGCTCTGGGGAGACCTTATTGCCGCCTTCCAGTACCTGAAGGGGGACTACAAGAAAGCTGCAGAGGTACTGTTTATCAGGGAGTGTAGTGACAGGACAAGGGGGAATGGGTTTAAGCTGAAGGAGGGCCGCTTCAGATTAGGTATTAGGAAGAAATTCTTTACTGTGAGGGTGGTGAGATACTGGAACAGGTTGCCCAGAGAGGTTGTGGAGGCCCCATCCCTGGAAGTGTTCAAGGCCAGGTTGGATGGGGCTTTGGGCAACGTGGTCTAGTGGAGGGTGTCCCTGCCCATGGCAGGGGGCTTGGAACTAGGGGATCTTTAAGGTCCCTTCCAACCCAAACCATTCCGTGATTCTAATGCAGTAACAGTTCATGGAACACAGAACATGAAATTAATAAATGCACATGAAATTTATATTAAAAACGTGATTTATACTGTTCTCAGGATTTTTATATTTTATGGGTCAGCCAACATTCTTTCACTAATCTCAAGAAGAAAAAACAAACCTGCTGATGTTTTGAGCTACACTAAAAAGCATTCCAATATAATTTAACCAGAACCTAGGAATGAGTTTCAGAATCCCAAGAAAGGACAGCTGATGGGGAAAAAAAAGGTATAAAAATAGGTTCTGGCTTTTATGTTTGTTTGGGTTTTTTTGGCTGTTTTTGTTTGTTTTGTCCCCTACTCCTCTAGTATTTTCTCTCCCCTATGAAGGTATTAGCCAAATTATGTCTGAAATAAAATAAGATGGTCAAAAGGGTGTAGACATTTGCAGTTAAATTTAACAGCATTTACAGCTATATTAAAAAATATTAAGATTGAAAATTTAAGACGTCCAGTGCTAGTGGTGTCACAATTAAGTACCTGCACGTAACTTCACACCATGCTTATTTGAATAAAGGAAAAACCTGTAGTTATGTGAAAAACTGTAGTTAAATCAAGAACCTATGCCTTGGTGCACAGGTAACAATCTTGGTGTTGTATACGCACCAGGTAGTATGTTAAAGGCATTAATTACGCCATCAAATAAAAGAATCCCAAATTATTGTACACAAACTCTTAACACAATTTTAAACTACAGCAGTCCAGGACATTTAAAAAAAATTACAAGTAATATTCAAAGAATTGTAACTTGTCAAAATACAATACCTTTCCTGTCAAAAGAAGAACCCTTGTCTCTTCTGAAACGTAATTCCTGTCATTGCAGAAATCCTGTATAAAAAAGAAAATAAAAATCAGTTTGTGTTTGATCTCTCAATCTTGCTGGTGTTTTTTTTATATATACATGACTGACTTCTCAAATATCAAGTGCTACAGATATTTCACACCATGCAACCTGCTGACAAATGAATCAATCTAATAAAGACAGGTCAAACTAGTGTCTTGAAGGAGATTTGTAAAAAGCATTACTGAATGACAGTAAGCCATACCTGAAGTTGGGATTAACATTTTTTCTTCCTGAATGACATAAATCATTTGGAGTGAAGCAAAACTGCTCTATTTTTTCACTTGCACCTTTTTAATGGGAAGCCCAAAGAGAGGAAAAGAGGCATTGTTTTCTCTAAACAAGTTGGAAGTTGCTACCTTTGTCACTCTTGAGTACAGTTTACACAGACCAAAACTCTAAATCTGAATGAATGCAGGTAGCCATCACAGACATCAGCTCCCTATCACCATGGCATCTGCCACTTCACAGTTAAATAAGCAAACTATTTTGCTTAAACAGGCTCAGGAAAGGCCGTTAATTAACAGTCTAAGACACTGAAAAACGTGAAATGTATTCTTCTGTACAACCAAAACATCAGGTCTGGTCCAGAGAATGACTTTGGTTCCACTTGGTATGCCTCTTAAAGAACAGTAGTGCTATTGCTGAGGGTAGAGCTGTACTCACTAAGGCTATTACTAAGTAGTAAGAGAACCAACCCACACAGCAAGCAAAATAGCCAAATAGCTACTGACAGATATAAACAGAGCACCAATAACAAAAAATGCTCCCTTTGTCTTTTTTGTCTGCTTTGCATTCTAATTCATATATACAGTCAGAATATACATATATTCTCACATATTCAGACAGACTTGTAAAACTGATCTAGCAGTACATGCTAACATATCAATATTTATTTTAATTAGCTCTCTCCTGGTTACAACCATTTCTAGCACATGCTCCTAAGACATAGATGACATAGGATAGAGCTGATGTTAAAAAATTTAATTGCTGAGGATAAAGTATATGCATTTTCCCACTCATAATATTATGTTATGGAGATAACCAGCTCTCAATTACAAATATCAAAAAGTACTTCCCCTTATTACTTTGGAAATTAAATTAACAAATTTACCTTTTCAGGTTGTGTAAAAAATTTGGTTGGCAATACAGGGTCCTTGGGTGAATCTGCATTGCATGAAGCACTTTTGCTGTTGATTACACATAGTGCTACGTCACATACTGTATAAAGTTTCTGAAGAAAAAAAGGAAAGTAAGCTTTAGGAATTACTTACTATTTTTACAGTGTAAAGAGAATGTAGTTCTTTAAAAAGATTAATTTATGCATTAATATAACCACCACTAATGACATATTTCATAATTACATCATTAACCATACTGTTGGCTCTTCAAAAACACATACAGAAGTCCCATTTTTCATACGATACTATTTAATAAAAACTAGTAATACTTTACATGCCTATGCTGTACAATAGAAGCTCTTGCTCAAATCAAATCGTAAGTGGTTTCTCATCTCTGCTAGAAACCAAAAGGTTTAACAGTATAATACAGTATTTCCCCCTGCAGCAGAAGATACTTATGTCTGTAAACTAGGCAGTATGAGTTAAGATAGGGCAGGCAGACAGTAATAGGAATATTTGACAAATTTTGTTTAGTAACTTTATTAGCTACTGTGTGCTGGATAAGGTCAGCAAGGTTCTGAAAGAATGAGATTGGCAATATACAGACAATGCTCGCAATTAACACTCTGAGCTAGTGTTTTCAGATTTCCTGCAAATCCTGTTCATCGACTGCTTGTGAAACCCTCAGCCGATCACCCAACACTTATCTGAATTGCATTTCTTACTTCATTGGCCTTTGGCTCATCAGGAGACTGAGCATCTCGGGTAAGCTTGATGTTTTCTGCCATCTTTTTCATGAAGGCATGGCTATTGTTCTCATTCTTTGTCATTAAAACTTCAAGCATGAACCACAGGCACCTAAAAAGCCATAAAACCAGACGCAATTACATTCCAGCTTTTACACTGCTGCTCCCACATATAGCAATGTCTTAAAATTTTTTGTCAGCTGTACTAGCTTTTTAAACCACAATGAATTTGAAGATACCATGAACAGATAACATCACAGAATCATTTACATTGGAAAAGACCTTTAAGATCATCAAGGCCAACCCTTAACATAACACTGCCAAGTCCACCACTAAACCCTAAGCACCACATCTACGTGTCTTTTAAATACCTCCAGGGATGGTGACTCAACCACTTCCCTGAGCAGCCTGTTCCAATGCTTGACAACCATTTCAGTGAAGCAATTTTTTGTTAGTACCCAATCTAAACCTCCCCTGGCACAACTTGAGGCCATTTCCTCTTGTCCTCTTGCTTATCACTTGGGAGAAAGGACCAACCCCCACCTGGCTACAACCTCCTTTCCGGTAGTTGTAGAGAGCAAGGAGGTCTCCCCTCAGCCCCCTTTTCTCCAGGCTAAACAACCCCAGTTCCCTCAGCTGCTCCTCATGAGACTTGTGCTCTAGACACTTCTCCAGCTTTGTTGCCCTTCTCTGGACATGCTCCAGCGCCTCAATGTCTGTCTTGTAGTGAGGGGCCCAAAACTGAACGCTCAAGGTGCAGCCTTACCAGTGCCAAGTACAGGGGGACATTCACTTCCCTACTCCTGCTGGCCACACTATTTCTGATACAAGCCAGGATGCTATTGGCCTTGTTGGCCACTAACACATCATCCGAAGGTGTAAATAGAGTCTAGACCATTCATACAGTCTTAATTGTACTCTTTGGAATAAATCTGACAAATTAGTGTGTTTCTCTGTTATATCTGTAAACATTGACCAACCAATCAGCTTTTTTCTCTTCCAAATCCAGATCGAAGCAAGAATTCTGGTGCTACCATCATCTAGATGAAATTATGTAATCACTACCTTGCGCTATATCTATGTTCCTATCAACAACGTACCACAACCACACTCAAAACAGGCTTAAACAAATCATACTGCTGCTAGACCCACACTACATGGTTTAATAATGGACCTGACACGGAAGAAGAGATCCAAAATCAAACAGGTCAGATTCTTTCTAATGCTCCATATGGGAGGAAAAGAAATCCTTACAGATAGACATAATCAAATTAGCTTTCCAAGTTTTCTTTCTTTAAAACTGGTTTATTTATAGGGAGAACCCATTATATTTTGACTAAAAGTTTAAGAATTTTTCAATTATGGTGTAAAGAATAGTCTGCCCATGCTATCATTTGCTATCAAGCTTCAGAGCTGCGCGTGGGCTAGAGGGTCAACAACAGTCATAATATGATAAAATAATACTTAGTTGGGAAAGATATGGGTGGGTCTAAGAAATGCAAACTTTGCCAGTAGCTAATTTAATTCTGAAGCTCTGGAAGAGAGATTACCTTGTCGAAAGAGGCTAATAAAAAACTAGAAAAACAGGATGACTAAACATTACAATTCCCTGTCCACAAAAGCCCCAAACTTCTTAACAGATACAAATTAAAGATTGTATTACGAGAGATGAGGGAACATTTCTCTCAAAAGTTCAAAGAGGGTTGCGCTCCATCAAAACACTTATCTGGTGTTCAAATAAAATAAGATGTCTGTATTCCGACTTGCACCCAAGAGCTACAAAGGCTACAAGTAAATCAATGTGTTAGATACCTTTACACCCATCTATACACTCTTGTCAAAAACTTAAATGGGTCGAATACAGGACTGATAACATACCACACTGACCCAGTTCTCCAAAACTCCCTGTTGTCCAAAGATTACTACTGAGGACAAATTTTACCCTGGTAATTCTAGTTAATGCATGTCAACTTCAATAGCTTGATTTCCTCACTACGTCAACAATAAATAAAACATTATCAACCCTGAACCAGACCCTTCCAGAACAACTGTGGGATTTCATGTAGAAAAATATGCACCCAGAAGAACACAAGTCATTTAAAGCAAGTTCATTCTCTGTATCCATTTCAGTATTTTTGGAACATGAATTCAGGAGAAAAAGACACTGTCTCAAGATAAAAACCAAACTCAACTCCAAGGACAAGCTTAAAAAAATTCATAAGAATAAATATCACAAATTATGGTTAAGGAACTTGCTAAGCATGTATTTACTTTACGTGACTGTATTTAGGCCACGTAAAGTCAAGATGAACTAGGCAGACAACTACAGAACACACTGCCAGTCTGCTTTTCCAAGTTTGCAAGCATCTATGTTAACACTATGACTCTCAGAACTCTTAAAAGAAACATTGTATTACATTATATGAGAAAAATGTTTTGCATTTATCTCAGGAGACTCTTCAGAGAAGTATTCCTGCCAAAATTCCTATACAGAGTATTTCTTTGTTCAGAGCAGTATTCTCTGGCTAGTTCAGCCAGCCTGTGACAAACACGAGGGAGGAAACTTGACAACAAAGGAGAGCTATACAAGGGGTGTCCAAAAAAGCTCTGTGCACTAGAAAGCACTTCTCAGAGAAAGTATTAACTCAACAACTGCAAATCAGAACTTGTTCCATGCATTTTGGATAAAGCACGCGCTGGAGAGTGCTTTCAGATGTTGCCAGGAACAGGGAGTCCTGGGACAAAATGTAGACTTGATGATTAGGTAAAGAAATCTTCACTGACTCCAGGTTCTGACCAGGTATGAGTCAAGTAACTAATAAATCAGAACAAATTAAGGTTTTTATTTAAAAGAAGAATTGGACGTGGACACTCACAGGTGAAGGTGCAAAAAGAATTAAGCTGTGAACTGGTCTATTTGTGCCAAGAATGAACTGCTTTTCTGATGAGGTATATTGCAGTATGTGGTAATAAACGCCTTTGTAATACCAAAACAACATAGCTTACAGTTCCACCAAAAATAAATACAAGAAAAAACCCCAAAACACTGAAACTAAAGCTGGGGGGGGGGGGGGGGGGGGAGATGCTTTAACAATTTTTAGAAAGTTTTAAAATTAAACTTTTTGGTTTTAATTCATTACAAGATACAAAGGAATACAAAAGTTATACTTGGGTATGAAAGTTATTTGAGGAGTACAAGAAGGTCTCAAACTAGAAACAGTACAGAACAAGCTTCTGTGTGACAGGCTTGTGTACAATAATCTGTGCTGAATACATTAAGAAGCACTAAGCCAGCACTGCAGACGTCCAGCGCAAATAAGTCAGCAGCAAATTTAGCATGAATTCTGGTAGGTTTGCATGGAGGGGGGATGAGGCAGAGTTTCCAGTGAAGCAGGACTCTGACACAGCATCAGTGGCATTACGTTTTCAAGTCTTGGAGAAGCTCTGTATTTTACAAGTTCCAAAATATCTGAACTGACATAACTTGGCATCTCTTCAAGTATGCTGGGAAATCCTACAGATATTGCTAGGCACAAATGCAAGAATCTAAAATCATTACTTCACTTTAAAAGAAGCCTGGACAACTCACTAATTTGGTATACTATGGTGTGTATAGGCTACCTTTTGCACTTTCGGTATATACTGCTAAGCAGTTGCTGATGCCTTCTTCCCTCAGTTGAAGTGTTACACATTTCCAAGATTACTGTTTTGCAAAATACTGGAGTTCCTCTTCCTAATCAGTTTTTTTCCAAGTACAGAAAAATTCTCAGCATAACAATTCTACAATCATTTGACACTTACTCTTTGACATCACGAAGCTGATCAACATCCTGAGGTTTTGTGAAATCTGGATCATGTGCCAGCAAGTGAATCATATATGGTACCACATATTCAGGCAGCAAGGATAGCAATTTTTCTACAGTAACAAAAAAAATCATAAATAACTTCTGTATTACACACACACACATCAGAAGAAACACTTTTTCAAAGTATTACTTTTTATAATATGGAATGTAAAATTTTGACTTCCATTTTCTCCCTACAAATTTTACTTTTAATGAATCATTAAAAATAAATGAACTAATTTTACTTCTACAAAAGTATTTGGTGTTACTTCAGGAAGAAGGTCATAAAACCTGAAATATCTAAAAACAAGATTTTATTTTTTGAGCAAAACTACCACAATAACAGCATTGTATTTTACACGTGTAATTCTCAGCAATGTACAGAGAAGTATTTTATGGTTTATGCTAATGCTAAACCAAGTAAATTTATATTTGAATGTATCTAATATAAAGATGAAGAAACAATTTAAACTTATCCAGTGTTTCTTTAGAAAAGCAATTTGCTTAAGTCTTAATGATTTCTCCTTCCAGTTTAGTATTTGACTATTGTATTCTTAACAATTTTACTGAAATACTAACCGTTAGCCATAGGATTCTGCTTAATATATTCTCTTCGTATACTGATGTTTTTGAGCAAACACTGTCTGGCATGTGCTCTTCTCTCTTTCACAGGGTCTTTGGCACACAAAGCAAAGATTGCCATATATTCCAAAGGGAGCAGTAATTTCACAAGTGCCTTATGCAGTTTCTGGGCAAATATCTGCCTCACTTGGTAGCACTCGTCCTATAGCAACATAAAAGCGCAACCATAAAAATCTTAGTCTTTAAAAAAAAAAAAAGCCGCATTCCAGGTGGAATTATGAAGAGACATTTTAAAAATGTGCAGCACAATAAGTGTTTGATATTTCAGGAACTCTTCTGAAAACTCCAGCGAGGACTAGAAAATACTGAATGTAGCAGCAATAAAACCACAGATGTAAGGACTCTGAACTCAATTAATTAAGAGTCACTTCAAATGCAGTTACTTACATTAATGACGAGTGCACAGAGCTGGAACTGTTCTGGGGTAATTATTTCATGGTAACAGGGTTCCTGTGCAAGCTTCATTATTGCACTACCAGCAGCTAATCGCAGTCGAGACATATCTGATTTGCTATACAAACATGAGAGAAAAAACAAAACCAAAAAAATCTGAAACACAACCCACCACAACTGTCCTTAAGTTACTTGCATGTCACAATTTCTTCTTCTTACAAGATCAATGAGCAATTAAGGTTTTTCTCTGTGACATCAGATCACAGTTCTATAGCTTCAGATCAAGCTAAATTAACCCAACCAAATTTGTGAAAGTAAGGTGCTCTGCTTTCCCCACAAAAAACTTAATTCCAGTAAAATTGTGAAATAAGAAGAGTCAAGTTTCTTGTTTTCGTATTACTGCAAATGAAAGCAACGCTTTTGCCACAGATATTCTCTTTTCTTTCCTTCACCCTCAGAATGAAGATGAGGTACAAAGTGACTTCACTGTTGGAATGAAGAAGGTCCACCCAAGCTCACTCAAATCTTAAGTGTGTTAAATCTCATCACTTAATTGTTTTCAAAGATACTCCTGCAGGTCTTTTACTCTCTAGAATGTCTTTTACTATAAAGATATCTACAGGTTTCTGAGTTAGATTAGTAAATTACAAGAAAAACAGAGTATCAAGCATATTTCTATACTGTGATTCCACTCCTAATATCAAAACTCCAATCAAATGCATTTTCTATCATCCTATTAGCCAACGTTGCTCACCTTAAAATTCTAAGAGTGCTCCAAAGGAATTAACATCCTTTGAAATTCTACAACAAAATTGATGGAAGCCTGAAAGGAACAAAGTCTGACCTGATTCGCTTCTGTTCTGTCAAGTCTCCTTCACTGACGAGCATAGCTGATAATAACCGGAGTGTGGAATTTGCGGATTTCGACTGGTTGTTTTTCATACCCAACAGCCAGCGTACCAAAAGTTTAATTGCTTGCACCTATCAAACATGAACAAATCAACAATGAACATACTTCCTAAAGATGATTAGGTACAAAAATCTACTGCTGTCAAACTGGAATTTCCATAGACTCCTATTTATTAGAGCTGATACATTTTTGAAGGAACAGAATGAAGCAGTAAATATTTACTTATTTACAATAAGTAGCAGTCTTTGTGACATCAGGACATTTCAACTACGGTTCAGAATCTTATCACAAGTGCATCTAGAGGATGCAGGATACTTGCTACATGATTAAAAATAAGAGCAACTAGATAAACATTTCTAGAATTGGCCATAATTAGATTCACAGTAAATAGCCTATAAAGATGAATGAATGAAATTCATTAGGGTTTCAATTTATTTTGAATCTGTTTACACTCAGTAGGAAGGAAAGCTAAAACTTTTCAATCTCTTAATTTTCTCAACATTCAGCATAATTAGCATTGGTAAGTGAAGACACCAAAATGCATAGTCTACCAGTTCTATAACTGTGTATATAATCTAAAAAGCTCTAGAACACTGAATATTCTAAGGAGACTAATACAAAAGTACTCAAAGGGATCTATTCTAATACTCTCCATTGCACAACTTGGAAAAAAGTAAATTTTTTATAAATATACACATTATTACTGACAGCAGATGATTCACCTTTGCTAGTACTTCTGGAGAAACTTCTTCATCTGGAGACCACAACTTTCCATTTTTCTCACCTGTTGACTACAGACATTCATGTAAGTTTAAGAACTGGTTCAACCCATACAGAAAATGCAGAAGTAAAAATGGAAAAATGTCATGGATTAAGCTTTCTTTCACATAAAGATCTTTTATGATGAAATTATCACTGTGGTAGCCATTTAAAGAAGGTTCTTTTATTGACTCATTTAACAAAAAAGCTCTATTCCCCACAGAGTTAATAACAGGCAAATAGAATAGTTAAGAACTTACCAAAAAAAGAAAATCTTACCCTGTCATTCATTAGGAGATCCTTCACAATGAAATTTGCAACAACAGATTTCATTGGAGAAGCAAACTGGTCTGGTGCCAACATGGAAATATGACCCAATGAGACTAATGGAGTTATAAGTTGTTCTGGTACATCAGCATTCAAACTTCTACTAAGAGGCTGAGGAAGAAAAAAAAGTAAATTCAAAATTCAACTATAGATAAATAAGCTAGCATGCCTAAAAATTGTTTATTTTACTGCTGGATTGCTGATGAATTTCAGAGTTTTTCCATAAGAATTAATAAAAGTTAGCAAATTAAAATGGAGAAGGAATGTGATTTCCTAATTAACGGAGTAACCAAAAATCTCACATGAGATAAGGGCAAAACAAATTTTATATTATCTTCCTGTTTTAATGGTGAAACACATTCAAACCTGGGAGACAGGGAAAACTCTGACTCAATTCTATTTAGGAGTTGTGAAAACCTGAATCATAACTGCAAATGGCAAAAAATATTGGCAGGTAAAAAAACCTTGGAAACCACCAGGGACATTTCTATTCAGCAATCACTATTTCCCTTCCAGGTAACAGCCACCAGGATAATTCCATGCTGCTGTATCACCCAGCACCCTTACACTGTATTCTGGTATTAGGGAGGGAACATGCACTCTCACAGAAGTCTAAGCAGAGATCAAACTCTGTAAGCTTAATTTAAGCTTTTCACACTTCTGAATTATGCATAGGTTCAAAGACAGACAAGATTAAGAACCTAAGATATTTTACAAGTGCAGATTAATAATGTTATTATTTAAGAGATTACAATGAAAAGTAATAACCTCTCTGCTCTGTATAAGGTAGATGACTTTTTGCTTTACAACTTGTCTAAGCAAGCAGTAAGTGAGCAGTAAGCTAATGTCTGAGCTTAGAGTCAAGTAGTTATTTTGCACTAACTTCCTCAGTGAGAAAGTGCTGTATGTGCAAAGGCCTTGAAGCATGGTAATTTAATACAGTTTGAAAGGAGAGGATGTTATCTCTCATTTAGTATCTGCTAAATGTGTCCTCATGGGATTTAGTATGGATCGTTCCAGCGTATTTAGCTTATCTTCCCACGTAGACAAAAAGGAATACCTCATCTATCAGACATCAGAATATTACAAAATCATGACTGTAAGACACAAACATTAATAATTTGCTATTGTAAAATTAATGACTTATCTCAACTACCATGCATCTGTAGGCTTCCTGACCTCTTAAATTGTTATCTGTTAATAAGCAGTATGAATTAATGTTAATTACTAGTATCAATTAAGAATAACAGAAACAAATCTTAAAAACAAACCAGCAAGACATACCTCAAAGATCTGTGCAAGCTGCACTTCTTTATTTGAAAATATAGCATGTATACAGTGAACAGCTTGTTTCGCCTGATGAGGAGTGCCTCTTTTTGCTTTCTGATGCAAAATCGGAATTAGTGTTCTGTAAACATTAAACAAAATATTTCAAAATGCAATTTGCAATGTACAAAAAATAAAGCTCTTCACCTATACAAATCTATCCTCACAGCCTTATAAATCAAGCATTCCTTTGAAGTCTGTTCAGGAAAGATCATAACCATAAAGTGAAAAGCAGGATGGAATTGTATTTAGCAATACTTGTTGAACATCTGACTGTACACAGTTAAGCAGAAAAAAGCCCACAGGGAGAAAAAAAAAAAAATCAAACATGAAAGAAAATAATGATCAAAACAAGGCTGTTTAGGAAGCTAAATACAAGGTGGAGGGGAACCCCACAGGTTCAGCCAGGGTAAACTCCTGGACTTCTTATCCAAGCTTGGAAGTGACAGGGCTGAAGAAAATTTATGAAAGTTAGGAATAACCGTTAAACATCAGTGTGTTTACAGGCCTTCACTGCTTTAACTTTGGTCTTTAATCACAATGTATACTCAAGCGTACAACTGCTTTGTTCTGAGCTTTTGCCTTTGAATCCCCTGAAATCTATCAGCTGGTCAGAGGCCACTGAAGGAAAGAGTAGGGCAGAAGCCACTGGAGACCAGGTCGAGGTTGGTCAGACTGTTCGGTTCCACCCCACAGAATGCGCTGGAAGGTAGGCCTGCCCCCTGCGAGGTCATCACCTGAGGTTTGCCACACAACTCACCCAGCGACTGACACAAGAAAATAAGATTGCCTAGAAAGCATCTGACACAGAAACATCTAAAAAAAAAAAAAGTCCTTGCTTTCTAGAAAGGTTCAGTAACAATACAGCATTCAGTACATGGATTATTTAGCACCCAGCCTTCACTGACACATTCTACATAATCAAAATCAGCAGCAAGAGGTGGAAGAAGAGCTTGCAGGGTTGAAAGAATGAAGTCTCAAAAACTACACAAAACCCCAAACCAAACAAAACGTCCCCTAGAAAAACATTAACAGTATCCTAAAGTAGGAGAATCTCTCTTCTCAAACCTGCTAAGATTCCACAGGTTGGATTAAATAAGAAACAAAATAGCAAAGAATTCAGTAAAACCTATAGTTAAAATAAGCTTCAATGCCTAACCTACAGTTTTCATAGTGTAAGTACGTGCATATTAAAGGGCCCTTGCCAAGTGTTGGTGCATCAGTTACAAACCATACCTCATCACACCCCAACTGACATAAATCTGCAAAAGGTGAAGCCTGACCTGTTTACATGCACCTTTACATATTTACATCCACAAGTTTACACATAGTCCGTAGGCTCTCTTCAAGCATGGCCAATGCTCCCAGACTCTAGAGAGTTGTGCACCACAACCTGGTGCACAAACTTATTCATTTTCCATATGAGGAAGAACTTGGGCTACTGCTGGGGAACACTACCTTCAATGGACAGCAGGCAGCCTGCGCACACAAGCAGTTTAAAAAAACCAACCAAACAAAAAACCAGGTCACTTGAAACAAACTGTCTTGGTGATTATATCAAATCTTTTTTTTTTTATGATAAAGATTTCTGAATACCTGAAATCTGGAACCATCTACTTGTCCTCAGACTTCTGTTTATTTGTGTTGGTGTAAACACTGACCTGGTTTTGGCTTTCAGAATATTAACCTGACTTGCTTGCAAACCTTGCCAAGGGCTAGACCTCTATTTTGCAGTTATATTTTTAAGTTATTTGAGATTGCCCAGACTATACATCAGCAATACCTGGCTAGGGCACAAAGCCACAAGAAATGTCAGCAATACCACGTCCTTTGACAGAAGACGATATACCCCATCAATGCATAGTCTTGACTAAACTCTACTAGGGAACTATAGACAATTTGGACTATACTGGAACAATGGGGATTGCTAGGCTTTTCCTTCTCTCCACCCCTACAAGTATCTTAAAAGGTGTCTCATATGTGAGCTTGTAACATCTTTCTTTTACCCCAAATCTGATCCAAATCCGTAAGAATCACTGAAGAATCACTGAGAATTTAAGGTATACGTTGCTATGCATTTTAGCCTGGTAATACCCGAAATGCTATTTCAATAGATGAGAACTTGAAACCTGTGCTTTATAATCTGGATTAGTTAGTTACTAACAGGCTAATTTTAAGGTTTTAGATGTTACCCACAAGGTTTTAAATAGTCTGTGAATACCTACTATATTATGCAGCTTTAATCAGCAGTTAAAGCATGATTGCATAATGACAACTTATAGACAGCTAATTATTCTTTGTCAGAAATTCATGCCTGCTTTTGGATCTTGTTTCCCAACTTGTTTCATAACAAACAGAGCTGTTAACCACCAGAGATTATATTTTCGTTCCTTACAAAGATAGAAAAATTGTGTGAAGGATAGATACGAGTAGAAACAATGCCAAGGAATTACATCTTCACCATATATTTACTGTTACTTATTTTGTAACCTGGGAAACATGCTAAATGTTGGTTTTAATGTGTCTTCTATAAGAAGATTTTTTAAAAAGTACCCAACATCTTCAATAAATACACAAAGATTGTGAGAATGCAGAATTTAAAAATTAAGAGACAGAGACAGTAAGGTAGTGAAGGAATACAAAATGATGGAAGAGAAGCTGTTCACATTTACAAGACTATAAAGTAATTTTAAGGGCAACATATTAAATAAGCTAGATGCAGAATTCCACTTATGAAAAGCAGCATGTAAAGAAATACACTCACGATCTTATCTGTGGCAGGTCTGTTTCTATTTTGTGACCCGTGTTTCTGAAAATCTGTATGGCTGCCTCAGCTACCTTATCATCTTCCATCCTGAGGCACTGCAGCAGAGACTCATAGGTCTCCGCAGAGTGGAACGAGGTAGGATGTGTAAAGGAGAGAACCTGTAGACACACATTAAAACAAAGGTATATTTATCCATGCTAAATGAATCAGCAGAAAAACAAAATTATGGCTGTTTATGAGCATTACCATCAACATAAATAACTATTACATGCTCACATGAGATTATTACATTCAATAACTGCATTTTGGAGAAGGTGATACAGGCATTTTCAAATAAATTCCTCTATGCTTTGTTCTTCAGGTCCTCCTCTCCAAATATTTCATAAGATATGACTTTAGTTGAATATGTAAATAGATTTATTAAAATGAACATTTATTCAAGAGTATTCATTTATATTCCAATCTACTTAAGAACACTTTTTTCAATTTAATTTAACTGAACTGAAATCTTAATTTCTCTAGAATCTATAGTCCCTGAGCAGAAAAGAAATCAAGAAGGTTAAGATATCTACAAACAAAACATAGATTACTGTCCTTTTAATCTAAAGCTAATGAAATATAAAACATTCTGTTAAATAGGAGAAATGTCAAATAAGAAACTAAGCATGCAGGGATTCATGGCAGGACAAGAGAGTACAAAAGGTTATCCCAAAGCAAAACTATATTAAGTACAGTAAAGTTCAGGTAACATAACATAAGGAGAACAATGAAAAGTTGCATGTATTTTGTGTATTCTTTGGATTTATCTTATCTTGGTTTCTTTGATTAAAGTTCCCTACTTGCGTGAGTATCAAAGTGTGAAATAATATTCTCAAAGATATCCACATCACAGCAACAATATCTTCAACCTTGGCAGACTTCTTTTCTGAGCTACATTAACAAACAGACATTACTTCCTTGCATACTTCTGTATAACTATTTCCACAATGGTTGCCATTAACAGATTTGGTGTGATGTCTCCACAAACTCCACCTTATTCATTCACACTTCTGAAAAGTCTCACTTCAATTATGTAACCTCCTTATCTGTTCCCGCCTATATTTTATACTGCCCTTTTTAACATGTTGAAAATAAAGTCTCATTAGTGAACTGCCAAATCCATCACAGATGTTTTCCAGATACTTCAAATCCTTCTTTCTCCCCCAGCCATTTCTCATCACCACTGAGAGCACAAGTTCCTCCATTCCCTTTTTTCCCCTTTACATATACTTGGCTCTTGAGTTTATTGCTTGCTTTCCTTCCAGTATCACACAGGCCCCAAAAAACATGCCTCTCCCAATCTCCCCATTTCTCTTCCTCTCACTTTACCTCTGCACCTTCTTCTGTGACTTCCCTAAGCAGAAACCAATTTCTACTTTAATGTGCATATTTCAACTCTTGGCACCCTTTTCAAAGCGTACTTCTTCCAAAACCCCATCTCTCTCATTATTCTTTTCCCAAGTGAGTATTAATAACCAAACACTTTCATACATTAAAAAAGTAATTATCTAAATAATAAATATTAAAACCATGCTAACATTAATTCATTACTCATACCATTTTTGTCCCTGCCATTACAAACTACAGCTGCATTAACATAGATTACCTTGAGAAGTTCAAGTCCTGCACGAATAGCAGTATCAGGACTTACACCCTCCTCTTCATCATCAGCTGTCCCCTCTATGGATTTATTCATTAGTTTTACTAGTGCACTGAAATAATAGATACAAAAAGAAAAAAGCAAATGAACATGACAATGTACAATGTTAAAGGCTGGAGATACCAGCAAGATTACTTGCTTTCGACAATAAATAAAGGGAAGGCAGTAGTCCACTGAGGGAGGAGGTTTTGTGGTGTTTGGTTTTTGGTTTTAGGTTGTTTTGTTTTGCTTTTTAAAATCAAGCTATTCCATTATTCCTTTTCTTTCTGACTTAGCTTTCTGCAAAATTAATTATTTAGGAGGAAAAAAAAGCAAAAAAGAGCAAAAAACCCCACCACGTTGGCAGCATTCAGATCAACACATAGCTGCATGAGTTTCAAAATGTAATTAGGTTGCCAGATGAGTCTCAAAAGAAATCCAAACATTCTCTTACACAATCCCACAAAAGCTAATTAATTCAACTGCTATACGGAAGACTGTGTTGCAGTTAACTATGTGAAAATAATGATCATCATTTTCACCCTAAACCCCACAAATAGCAGTTTCACCAGGAACAACTACTATATTTTTTAAAATCATTTACAGACAGCGCTGCAAAGTAGCAGCAAAACCAAAAAAAACCAAAACCAAATCAAATTGCATTCTCTAGGCTGCTAGAAATGGAGAGATCTACATAGTTGTTGCTTTTTTTTTTTTTAAAAAAAAGCATGTTTTCTGCTAGAATAGATTAATCTAAATTCCAAGAAAATCGCCCCCCCCCCCTTTTTGGTGTCATTTAAATAATGTTTATAATCATTCATGAATTAATATGATCTTTCAAACTTACCTAATGGCTTCTGAGTCAATATGTACAGGGGCAATTCTTTCCAAAAGAAATTTGACCATTTCCAGAAAAGGATTTGTTGGCTGCTTAGGATTTGCAAGTTTCCGGGCTATCTCTCTCTACAAGAATGTTGAATACAAACAAGAATTATATTCATTTTACTTACTACTTAAGCATGTTGAATAAGCTGAATATAGCCTTGTTTTAACCACAGAGGTTGTCTATATAATTAGTGAAATGTATTTTATGGGAGGCTGTTATCTCCAAATCTTTCTTTATCACATTATATTGAAAGCAGACATAACTTTACCAAACTATTTAAATGTAAGATGCATTTAGGTTTCTAGTGAGAGTTCTTCAGAGTTTCTTATGGAATTACAGGCCAGATCCAAAATGGAATCAAAGGAGAGCAAGTGCAATGTAGAGAGAATTTAAATACCTACGTTGACAAGAGTAATCCATAAATCTGGAGGTAACCCTGTTGTATGTGTGAGATTTCATAAGCTCAACAAAAAAATTATCTTCATGAAGAGGGAGGAAACCTTCCTCTTGAAACTGCATCGCTGCATTCCCAAAGTACAAAATTTACTAGTTTAGAAGGAGATATCAAGTGGCTAGGACATAATTCTGAAGGTCATTCTGTTCTCTTCCCTGACAGTTTCAGAGCCATTAGACAAAACCCAAGAAACCTACGTTTGTTCATTGATACCCTCTATTGTGATTTCTGTCAATGAAATTGCTTAATTTATTTTGGGACCATAATGAAAAAAACAACCCTGTGATTGTTGGCACAATCTGTAAATCTCTGGAAAAGTCCGATTTAATATTAAGGTGTGTATTTTCATCAAAGAGGTTAAATAGATGAGAGAGAGAGAGAAAGACTTATCTCAAAATAACCTTCTAGGAAGAAAAATAAATAAATAATATGCAGGTGGTATAATATTTGGCTTGCTGGTACTCAGAACAAGTTTCATCAGTGTCAGAAGACAGTTTAGGAACCTAACCATGAAAGAGACACTTGAGGTAAAATATTAAAAATAATCAAATTAGTCTTTTAGACTTTATGCTTGATGCTGATAATCCCAGGAAGGAATAAAGCTAATGTTTTCTTAGGAAGCAAGATGATAATCATAAATTATATTTTCCATAATCTCTGTAGGTTAACCAAAAAAAGTATTTTATGAAAATTGGAAATATATAAAAAATCATGTTAAGGTACCAAAAGACACCATTAACTCTGAATAACTGTTCTAAGCACAAATATTTAAAGTATAAAAGTTTGCTTTTCCACTTCCTTACCACACAGACATCTGCCTGTTTACAAGAACACGTAGGGCTAATTAACAGTTCAAGCTGGGACCGAAGTTTCTCATCGTCACCCAGAACCTGGTTGAATTTCTTCACAAAATCTTGTGCTTTTCCAGGATCTGGAAGGTTTTCTGTATGATTAAACACAATTTAACATAAGATAAATTTGCCACTTCAGTATGCCAAGTTTCACAGAAGTACAATTTCTAGAAACTCTGTAATAACAGTTTATAGAACTTATTAGCACTTACTTGCTATGGTCATCAGCTTTCCAAACATGGCAGCACTGTTTGCTTCTGACTGAGGACAACAGCAAAAAACAAACAAACAAATCAGTGATACCTCCTTTATAAAATATACCTTTAAGGTGATCTGTTAGTTCTTCTGCAGCACTTAAAACAAAAATGTAAGATCCCAGAGTAGAATTAAGAATAAAGACTAGAATAGTGTAACAGTATCATTAGCAGGTACTAGACACAGAAAAAGGGGGGGGGGGGGGGGAAATCTTCTTGCAATATCAAAGAACTGGACAAATTCACTAATTCACATAGTATATCAAAACCAATTGTTGCAAAAGGACCTCAAAAAGACCCCAAATAAACAACTGCCCTAAGCCCATTTTATGTTATAAAATGAGAAACAAAAAAGGTCTGTCAAAAGCAGACAAAAAAACTTGGATTTATATTTTTTTTATACTTTTTCCAAAATTATTGACCAGTAGTATAAAATAATGGTAAACATAAGGAGGCCATATACCTTTAAGCATTACTGGAAGCAGCTTTACTTAATGAGAATGTAACATTGTCTACATATGGAAATGAACAGAATAATAAAGTAACATTGAATAAATACTATAGTATTAAAAAACCCCAGTAAATTAGTCTAACAGGTCCACTGAATAAAGTATTAATATTTTCAAAACCGTACAGTGGGCTGCTTATGCAAGTCTAGTAATTCTCGTACGTGACTTCTTAGCATGTTCTGGCACTTCCACATCTCGTTCAGTGCTCTGCAAAAGTGCAAAACCAGAAAAGAAAAGCTTACCAATTTGTTCATGACAAGAACATGCTGGATGTATTAGTAAACAAGATTGTTCATTTATTTATCTTACAAATGCAACAACTGCTAGGTACAATCAAAACCTAACAAATATTAAAAATAACCATTCCAAACAAGGTGGAACTGATTTTCTTTTTTAACAGAGTATCACCTCTCATTATTCTACCTGGAATAATTTCACATATGCAGGACAACCGCAGTATGTCTTACAACCACCCAAATTATCTTGAAAAGAACGTTTTCAAAATAAGAAACGGGCCACTATCCACCAGCATTCAGTTATAGGTATCTTCATCATGGACCTTAATATAGGGCAAATCTAGAAGTCATTACTTGCGCATTTGTAACTCTTCATTGTTCTCATTGGATGAAAACAAATGGATAAAACCATTTTTCTCAAATATCAAGATATCCTTCTGTCTAATGAACACACAGAGTTTGTATATACAAAGGAAATGTTTGAAATACTACTTGCTAATAGTGCTAAGCATCAATTACTTGCATTATCAGGTTTTACATAAAAATATAAGTAAGACACTATAGACGTTGGAAAAGCCTGAGAAAGCAAGTTTTTGCTGAATACAAGCTATACTCACTTGACAGCATTTGGATCCAAGCTAGCATACAAATAATACAAGCACTTCATTCGCTCTTCTGTTTCCAAATTGTGTGGAACGAGATACTGAGCAAAGATTTTCTCTACCAGTAATCTGCAGGAAAAGAAGAGAGAAAAACTGTGCATTTCCAAAAGTGGTGATACCTTTCGGACAAGCTGAAAGAACATGAAATATCGGAAGTCACTGAAACTAGATTTTTCAACAGAGAAGAAAAAAAAAGTGGTGGTCTTTTTTCTCATCTGTAAAGACCCCTTCAACTGTTAATAGATTAGCAAGAACTGCTTCTTGAGAGCTTTCCCATGTTCTTTCAGTTTCACCTCTAAGAGGGAAAAATTGCTTTACTTATCACCACCCAAATCCTCCTTTTTCTTTAGGCTCTGAGAATTTCCCTTTGTTCACTCCCATACATAAAAGAAAGGGAAACAAACAGTAAAAAGCCCAAAGGAGAAAGAACACAAGAATATAACTCAAGGGGAAGGAAAAGTAAAAATCTGAAGTGTCCTTGAGGGGAAGGTTAAGATAAAACTGTAGTATTTGAGAAAAACATTTGAAAATACTAATTTTTCTAATACAGAAGCTAAAAAGCAGCATTAAAAAGGTGGAGACAAAGGAACACCAAAACATGTACAAGAAAAGCAGCAAAAGGGAAACCAAGCGAGAGCAAACCAAACCATCAAAACCATTCTCCAATTATCTTTTTAAAAAACAAAAACATATATTTAAGGTTTTAGATAAAATACAAATTTGAACTACAAAATATGGCTGTACAATTCATCTAATTATAGCCCCCCCAAATGAAAGAACATTCAGACATTAATTTAATCCATAGTAATAAGAGCTGTGCACAATGTTCAGCTACATAATTTGATGTTTATGGAAAAATATTTTGTGTGTTTGAATTTACAAACTTTTTTACTCCAATTCCTAGTAAGTACTGCAGGAATGAC